ATCAAGCACACACAGTCACACTCACAATAGCTGTAAACTCTCTGCTTAGTGAGTCATTAAAATCATATATCCTTCATCACTCTCATGGGAATCTGAGTGATAGCTGGCCATTTGCAACAACACAATTAACCATTATAGATCAGTAATGAGCCAATTAGCAATTACACACTGTTTAAGAGCCATCAGAGTGTGCTTAATTCACACCTCTGGAACTTGTTAAAGTTGTGTATTTCATTCAGCTATAATTCCTCTTTCCCATTCTCCACTCAGTCACACTGACTTAGCACTCTTTTGGCATTCCTTTGCTTTTAACCATTCACACCCCTATCAAATCTAAAAAAGGGGAAACGGCAAATACTGTGGATATTCAGTAATGTGATTTGCGAGATCACTTCATCTCTTAGCCCATATTAATCAAGTGTAATGCCAGTGTGAGTCTTCACTTCTTGAATAGTGCCCAATGTCCTTATTACCCTGAATGAAGCTTCTGTTCCAATGAAACGCTTCTATACACATCCACTAAAAACACTCCATTAATATCATCACCCTGAAAACTCTGGGGAAGGCCAAGTTGCCCTTTACAAAAAGTTAGAGAAAGAAAATAACAAACATGCACATGTATCGATGACTCCAAATATCTTTTTTCAATAAGATTTTTGTCTTGTTTTCTGCTAAACAATATCATAATGTCTGTAGACGCAAAAGTTCTTGTTTTCAGTTGCCATTTTGTTCTGGTTTTAAGCATTTAACAACTTTTTTTGGCTTATATGTATAACAATATATTGCCAATGCTTTATTGAAAATAATTACACATTTTTTTAAGTATTGCTTGGGTTGGGGAAAATCAGCTTTCACAATATAGCCCTGATATGACTTTCATTTTATTTTAAGATTTGTTTAAATTGCCTATTTTTACTGAAAACCAAGACAAAATTCCAACCATCCATCATGGGAAACACAATTACAGATTACGTTTTTTTTTTTTTTTTTTGCTGTATAAAAGTTGTTATCTCTCTCTTCCCCTCTCTGAGTTTCTAAAACTCAGATGCCTGATTACTAATAAACGTCAGTAGTCCACAATGTCATTATCTCAACAACTGAGTTTCTCTCTCCCAACCCAACAGCTCCACTCACCCCGTTGACTCTTAATTAAATCCTTGGCACGCATATTCCTTTACCTCTTCATTTGCGCACACACACTCGCACAATGAAGTGTTGTTTTACTCGCTCGCTGATAGCTTTTAAGGGTGGGTGCTTTTATTGAGGGGCCACGCTGTGGGTTTATCAGAGCGGTCTGTGAATAAATGGCTAACCCTCGTGCCCTCTCTCTTGGCCGTCTCTGTAATTCCTGCGCTTCCATTAGCTGCTGTATTGATAACGGTCATTAGCATATTTATGGTGATGGCGGGAACGTTATTGTTTGTGTTGGTTATTAATCTTCCCTCTGAGCAACTGCTCTGACAGCTCAATCTATTCTGCCATCTCGACACACACCCGCTCACACGCACAGCGCTTTCAAGTTGAACGGCGCTTTTGTTTGAGGGTAAATAGGCGGTGTCGGGGGGCGCTCGGTAAGCAGGACGGGATGGGTGATTGACGCGACCCCTCCTCAGGTGAGCGCTGATCTCCAGCTGGGCCGAGAGCTCGCTGGCATCACTGTCACTCTGCCAACCGCTGCCAGCCTCACGCGATCAGTCCTCCTGATTACAATTAAAATACATTTACTGTAAACACACAACTCAACACTTTCTAGAGTGGAGTCAAGAGTGTGTGTATGTAGGACAAAACCTGGTTTGCTAAGAGTGTGTGTAGTTGACTCTGAGGGGAGTTGTTTTTTTGTGCCCAGGGAGGGCGGATGGGGGTAGCTGAGTGTCTAATCGGGGGTCCCAGGTGACTGGTGAATATGCGCGGTGTCACTCCCTCTGTTTGAGTGACAGCTCGCTGATTAAGGGCCAACTGAAGGCTGGAAAGCAGCCAGGATCACTGAGGGCAATGAGCATCTCAACCACACATTCTCTATCTCAAACCACACACACACACACACACACCATCTCCAGAAACAAATGGCACTCCTAGATCAGAGCAAAACACCTGGACAGGGAAGCAAAAATAAAAGGGGTTGGATAAAGGTCTTGTGTTCTTGTCTGGGTCAACTTTTACTAAGTTCAAATGATATCCAAAGCTACGATGGTACGCAAAGCCACTTTCACCGGAATAAAAATGTTCCCTTATGTATTTGATGTAACAGTCATACACTATAACACTAGTTATTTAATAGACATAGTCTTAGAAATCAAATTTCCTAAGCTTCCTGCACGGGGCCATTGTCTATTGTAAATTTGACACGTAACGTTTCTTTATCTTTGGCGATAAATAACTGGTTTTATTGAGGCTATCATTTTGCTCATAACTTGCCATGGAGAGATGTTATTGATTGCTATTTAAAAAAAACGGAGCAAGATTTTTATTTGTTTTATACCACAAATGTAAATCAAAGCCCACCCCTCACAGTGCACCAATAATCCGCACCAGATATATGCTAATGTGATGGAATATTTTATTGAAGCTGTAAAATTTGAAATCATAATTTGCAAGCGTTTCATATAAGAAAACACCAAAAGACAGGCTATGAATACAAATGGTTGTAAACTAATATGTCATACAAAACAGTTAAGAGATATTCCTGTCTGCGTGTATCCATCAGGGGAAAGATATTATTCCTACTTCCTTTTTTACAATGCGCTTCTTTGGGAACAAATGCTGTTACTATGAGATTTACCACTGATCAGCAAATGCTCAACTGGGAATTAGTGTTGTCTGTGTTTTACGCAGATTTCTCTTACTCTTCTCTTACTTTTTAAAGTAAACACCACAGTTATAAATTAATGAATCTTTTTCGACATCATTGCAAAACTAGTTTGAAGAAAATGTATTGCTCATACTTTAATTCATGTGCGATTGCAGCAAACAATATGGAGCCCAATGTCTCGTTCATTGTATTCTCGAGTGCAGGCTTGATGAAAACAGTTAATTACAGCCAGGTCATGTCCATCACATCTGCACAACAAAACCTAAAACGTTCCTCCATTCTCCTATTCAATGATTCATATCTAAGTATCTTTAGCCCAAACACAGGCAGTGCTAGCGAGAGGTTTGAAGGTTGTGCATTCTGACCTTGTTATTGTGCCTGCTTGATTTACATGTTCGCTGGCCCCATAACCCCTCTTTTTATGTATGATTAAAACCCAATCAGCGCAAGGCTAAAAATAAGGTCCTCATCTTTAACGCATTGAGTGTTAATGAGGAAATGCAACAAAAACTGCTCCCAAACTGCCAACAAAACGGATGTGACGCTAGCGAGGCAATATATCTGACCGTCTGCGATACAGAATTAAAGCCTATTTAAAAACACCCGCCCCCATCCCCCTTTATTAATTTAGCTGCAAGCCCAAGTGCGCTCACCTCTGAGGTTATCACAGATATCCAGTGTTTCATATGAGTGGACAGGTCGTTTAAAGCAGTGGTTCTTAACCAGGGGCCAATGGCCTACTAAAAAGCCTTAGCAAACTTCAAAGGGGGCCTCAAGATGATTTCAAATGATTTTAAATAAGACTTTAAAATAAGCAAAAACAACAAAAAATCAAGATATTTCTTATTTTAATTCACCTCCTCAACAACACTATCCTTTGAAAAACACCCACAGTCTTGGAAAGCCTGAATATACAAGGTAGTCTAATTTTGAATTTGTGATTTCTAGACCTGGAAAAATGTTGAAATAATTAAAGCTGCAGTCCGTAGCTTTTTTTGGGTTAAAAATGATCCAAAATACATATTTGAGAAAATACATAACCAGCCAGTGTTCAACGCTATCTGCTTGCCGTACCTCGATTCAAAACGGTAAGCTTGTAATAATGTTTTTAATTCCAGTGGTCTTTGCGTCATTACGTCACATCTGTACACATAAAGAAGGAGTCTCGGCTAGTAGGCTATATTGCGTGTGAGGATGTTGGAGGTGGAGATTTATAGCCTTTTCTCACAGCACTTGATATAATTAAAGTTATCAATTTGATGGCGGATCCAGAAAGGTTCAAATGACAATCACCAGTGACAACAGATTCACCCGCTGTAAAATACAAAAGACTTCGTTCAGACCTTGGAGTGGCTACAGAAAAAAAAGAGACTGGGAAGGGCAATACATGTAGTCACGCAATGCTGGCGTTGTTAACATTAACAATTTGAGAACAAAGTATAATTTGCACGGTTTTGCGTGATATGATAAGCGATTTTTAGATTTAATCAGCGGATTTACTGCAATGTCAGAACCAGAACAAAAGTGGATGTTTCTTACTTGTTCAGATGACATTTTCCGGTGAAAATGATTATGTTGGTCATACTTCCAAAAAGTATAATCTGTGATTCTGAATGCCAGTATCGACACCGGCACGGTGACTGACAGCCTCAGTCTCCTCAAACATTGTGTTCATCCGCGCTGTGCGGTGTCGAACTACAACTCACGTAAAGTTGATTGCAGATTTCGAACAGAGATGGCGAGGAAGAGGAAAAACTGCGGACTGCAGCTTTAAAATTATAAAAACACTGGGCATTTTAAAAACAAATATGTTTTAACTGAACTATCCCATTTTATGATTATGCTGAGCTCTAAAATATTTTATGGGGAAAAAATTGTGAATAACAAAGGATTTAATAATTTTTAAAATCCTTATTCTTAATCCATATCCATTAAATCACGAATAACTTTAAAAGTCATGTAAATGCATTGGTTAAAAAGAGTGAGATAGTTGAAGAACAGCACTTGAAAACAATGCTTTGGTATTACAGAAAAAGTACTTGTTGTGGAAAAAGGAGTCACAAAGATCGAGAACCACTGAATTAAATGGACTTAAATCATCACCAATTCCCATCAAGACATTCTAAACCTGTATGACTTTCTTTCTTCAGTCGAACACAATAGAAAATATTTTGAACACAATGAAAGTCAATGGGGTCCAAAAAACGTATTTTATTATATGCACAAAAACAGTTGAAATTTCTTTGTTTAGCAGAAGAAAGTTAGTCATGCAAGTTTGAAACAACATGAGGGTGATTAAATAATGAAAGGATTTTCATTTTAGATTAACTATCCCAAAAATGGGGTTTTGGAAAATTTGAAAATAAAATGCTCAAAAATACAAAACGGTTGGTCAAATTAAATAAAACAAAAAATGTTAACACAACAGTGATCTGTTTTAATTTGAAGTAAATAGGCCACTGTTCTGTCTGGTCAGTCTGTATCCAATGTATACAAAAAAAGAAAAGCTTCAAATGACAAAGTCAAACACGACACAGCATCTCATTTAATCTGGGCTTTGGTCTTGTATCAATAGCATGAGGAGATACACAATCAGTAACAACCTCAAACCCAATACAGCATATGACCTTCAGTGTCCTAGGAAAACTTCTTTTCTACTCAAACAACCTTATTATGAGCATCTTTAGTTTGAGACTTTAATAACTCGTAACATCCTCTATTGTTATCACTAAACAAAAGCATAGACACTGGTGAACAGAGCAGGGCACAGAAACTTCTCTATCGATTTCTGTCCGAGAAACTCTCTAATGGTCCTTCGGCATAAAAAAATGCACACACATACGGTCCTCAGGCCTCGCAGTGACCAGCTTGATCAATGTGGCTGGCGCACAATAATTCATTACCCTCTCGGTCGGACGAGTGCTCCACATTCTTCAAGGCTTGTATTATACTCTTAAGCCATGTTAACTCCTGCTGCTCTTTTCTTTCATTAGTGACGACATACTTTCATTAGTCCCTCCACGGCAACCGGACAGGTAGGATGCATCCGTGTGCTGGTCCGAAGCGGAGTGGCCTTTATGATGTCATAATTGGTTATTGGGTAAGGTTGGTGATATGACTGTAGAGCTGCTCAGTAAAGGCCTGCAGCGAAAAGCGCTGCTGTACCCGCTCTCTGCCAGCCTGTCCCATACGCTGCTTGAGTTTAGGGTCTGAAACAAACTTCTGCATTGCTTCGGAGAAGCACTCGGGGGTGGGTTCACAGAGGAAGCCTGTTTCGTCATGGGCCACAGACTCTAGCGGTCCACCCGAGTTAACTGCAATAACGGGGCAACGTGAGTACATGGCTTCAATGGGTACAATGCCAAAGTGTTCATTGCTGGGGGTGTACAGTACACAAGTGCTGCTGTGCAGCAAAGACAGTTTCTGTTTGTCTGAAAAAGAGCGCAGGAATGTGACATGGTCCTCCAGGCCAAGAGAGGCCACTAGTGAGCGCAGCTCTTCGTAGTGCTCTACATTCTCAACCACGCGTTCATCGTAACCCCCCGCCATTACAAGCTGCACACGCTCCCATTCCCCCGTAGACAGACGCTCCTTCAGGACCGCTAACGCTTGCAGCGCCAACGGCAGGTTCTTCTTGCGTTCATAGCGGTTGATTGACAGAAAGAGGAAGCTTCGCCCTTCAGGGAGCAGCCCGCTGAGATCCTCCACTTCATCATTGAAAGCTGCAGAGTTCAGAGAGGGATAGAGGACGTCGGTGTGGATCTCAGCTAGTTTGGGGAACGTCTGTTTGAAGACTTCTGCCGTGAACTGGCTGTTGACCAAAATTCGATCGGCCATGCCTGTGGTCAGTTCCTCAAACCAGTCGATGGGGCCGCGATATAGCCGCTTTAGAGCAGAGCGACGCTGAGTCAGTAGTTGGTCAGGGAAATGACAGTAGAATAAGACTTTCTTCCTGTGACGTGCCAAACGTAAAAAGGGAATACATGCTGAAACCTGGAAATAGGAGATAAAATTAAACCTGGTGCTTTTGATGACAACCAAAGACTTTAGAGACTTAATACTTTAATATGCACTCCTATTACTTATGAATGGGAGCAAAGTGCAGCATGCAATATAGCGGAATAAGTCCTGCCTTTTAAATAAAAGGACCAATCGGCAATTGGTAGTCATCACGTCACTGGTGTTAGAAGCTCCAGTTTCTACAGAAAGTGTTCTGAGACTGGCGCTTAGGACTGCGCATTGGCTGGTCTAGCTTGTGAAATAAGCTTTTTTTAATGCTATTTGAGCATAAGAAACAACATTTATGGCACAGTTCATGTCCGATTCTGTTGCTGATTTAAAATATGTTATTTAGATGTGAGTTCGACAAGCAGTTTTTGAGATTTCAGGATTCCCCCATTCAAGTAGATAGGGCTTGGTATTGGATTCACAAAATAGCTGCCCGGAGGCGTTGCAAATATAGGGGCGCAGAGTGAACAGACTTTCCTTTGAAAGGGATTTTGATGAGAACGGCTCTCTGGAATACTCAATTCTGACTGGGCAATCGCAGCACTGAGTGGTCAAATGTTTCTCTATAATGACCACTACATTTTATTTGACCAGTGTCTATGGTGCTACTGTGCTAGTTTTTATGTCTCTTGGCTTTTCTAGCAACGCCAAAGTCATGGGTTTGATTCCCAGGGAATGCATGAAGTCATTGTTGCAAAATAAACCTCTTCAAGATGAAACAAGACTTCTGTTGGGTTTAATTTTGTGATGATGACTTGCCAGATGAGTAATTATGACTATTATTATTTTTTAATATTCATTTATGATTTTTATGGCATTTTCAGTTCACAAACAACTTACAGTTATGTAGAAGCTAAATATTGTCATTTTACGACAACATTACATTTTAAAATAAACAATAATAAAATTTGTCATTAGTACCTCACTTTCACTTTACTCCAGGCTCTTGTCTTATTTTGGGTCAGACTTGACGAATTCGGTTGTTAAAGTTTAACTAGAGACTCACTCTGACCAGATCATTGAATCAATCAATGAGTTGATGAATTGATGAATTGAGAATACGGTGCTTAGCATAAGTGAACACACCCATGCTAAAGTTGACTAAAAATAAAAAATCATCCGTTGGAAATTAATCTTAATGCCTTAATTAAAAAGAATGAGGAAAAATCCAACCTTTAAGGACACCAATTTTCTTTGTCAATGAAAAATGTATTGTAAATACATAAATGTTCTTCCTTAAAATACAGGGGGCATAAGTCAGGACACCCCTATGTTAAATTCCCATAGAGGCAGGCATATTTTTATTTTTAAAGGCCAGTTATTTCATGGATCCAGGATACTATGGATCCTGATAAAGTTCCCTTGGCTTTTGGAATTAAAATAGTCCCACATCATCACATACCCTTCACCATACCTAGAGACTGGCATGGGGTACTTTCCATAAGATCATTTCTCAATGCAAATCAAACCAGCTATTAGGCTAACTCAAATACAACCATGCCAGTCTCTAGGTATGGTGAAGGGTATGTGATGATGTGGGACTATTTTAATACCAAAGGCCAAGGGAACTTTATCAGGATGCATAGTATCCTGGATCCATGAAATAACTGGCCTTTAAAAATAAAAATCTGCCTGCCTCTATGGGAATTTAGCATAGGGGTGTCCTGACTTATGCCCCCTGTATTTTAAGGAAGAACATTTGCTTTCTTGAACAAAGAAAATTGGTGTCCTTAAAGGTTGGATTTTTCCTCATTTATTAAATTAAGGCATTAAGATCAATTTCCAAAAGATTATTTTTTATTCCTCTTTTTAGTCAACTTTAGCATGGGTGTGTTCACTTATCAGATTCTGTGCGATTGATATCTAGATATCAGTTCGAAACAACAAGTAATGATATGTTTTTTATGAAATATAGCGGAAAAGTCACATAATATGCTTTGGAATGTAATGAAGTTAAATGAAAATAAAATACAGATACTTGAAAAATAAGTACAGTAACAAAGTACAAATACTGTTACTGTCCACCACAGATAATTGTTGTTAACTAAAACTGTAAAAAAAAAAAAAAAAAAATTGTAATTGAAATAAAGTATAGTTGAAATCTATAAAATAAAAATTCAGATGAAAAAAGTATTATCTTTGCAATTAACTTAAATAAAAAAGTTGAAGTTGAAGTACTAAAATTACTAAAACTGAAATAAAGATATATTAAAGCTAAATAATAAAAAAATAAAAAAATGTTAAAAGCACATACCATAATTACTAAAACTTACTGACAACTGAAAATATAAAAATTAAATCTAATTCAAAAATAAATACTATAGTAGTATATAAACAATACAAACATAACACTGATAATAAGTAGCTAGTTTTAGTAGCATTAGTAGTTACCTGATCACAGAAAATAACATCAAACTCCTCCCCACTAAAGAGCACAAGATAGAGAGTTAGGTAGATCATGCGCAGGTATGCACAGAGAGCGTGGAAATAACCAAACACACTGGTGGGCAGCCAGTCGCCCACACACAGCACAGGCAGGTCAGGTGAGAGAGTCTCAGAGAAGCAGTGCTGGGGGTCATAGTGTGCCGTCCAGATCTGAACAGTGCAGCCGCGAGATCGCAGAGCTACAGCTGCATCCACCACCAGACGCTCCGCTCCACCTATACCCAGATCAGGGTGCAGAAACACCACCCGAACCATCCTGTTCTGACCAGAACCTGTTGAGTCAAAAGGTGGTCAAATGACAGTTACACCTCATTTTTAAGCTCAACACAAAGCAACTAGATTTTCCAGTTACTCTTTTTCCACAAAACCTATAATTATCACACATACACTTATATTTGCTTTATTTAAATGACAACATTTCATAGACATCTATTTTTTTTGTCAGATTTAGCTCACTTCTGAGTACACATTTGTTCCCAAAGTATGGTTATAAAGTTACCATTGTTTTTATCAGATGATTAATCTAATCACATCTTAGCCTTGATTACATCAAGTATCTCATGTCTCTACGATGTTACAACAGGCCAGAGCGCGCCCACGTCTCTGTGCACGTTCACGTGTCCATGTCACTGGGACATCTGTCATAAACTCTAATGCCTTCTATTGTATATTATTACAGCAGTCCTGCATCATTAAATGTCTGCAGATATCTATAAACAAGTGCGATACGCCAAATCAAAGTTGGGAAAACATCCATATTCATTCTTATACATTATACAGTAAGTCTAGACTCAGTATATACCCTGCTACATACTAAGTAGTGACAACATTGCACACAAAGCACATAAAACATCATATTTTCTTTACACAAACTCAAATTGTGCTTACAGTAAAATGTTTAAAAAACATTGAGGCGAGAAAATGCGTACCTTTACCGTCAGGTGTCTGTATGAATGATCAAATATAGCTCAAAGTTCGCGATTTAGTGAAACTGGCTTCCTGATTGAGCCAAAATGTCTGCCCTACTCTGTACACATCATCAATTGCACGCGACACGTCACTGCACTCTCTTCTACCGCCTTTGGGTTTTCACAAAATACATTTAGAAGCTGAGCTGCATTCGCTGATTTTAGTTACCTTTATTCGGGACGGTTTGAACGTTTTATATCAAATTAGGTTTACAAACGAATCCAAATTGCGTTTAAAGTAACACGCAAGATCACAGTTCCGGTCAGGCGCTCTACTGGCTCCTATTGGGGTCCTTTAGATGGCTGTCGTGGCCTTCTCAGCGAGACGTCATCAATAGTCTTTCTCTTGTAGTTGTCTGGATCGGCTGGAGTTCAGTTATAGAGACAGTCACTTATTCATTATTTTACCCGCAGTCTCCTGAAACATACACTATTAAACAAAATGGTAAGGTTCTTAATCCAGCTTTTCGTAGATGTGGAGCTTTATATTAAATGTTTTGCGCGTATTAGTCATATCTGGATTGCTAGCTGTCTAGCCAGTCATGCTTTCTAATAACGTAACGTTACCGTTATTTGGAATAGTCTACTCAGTTTTACCATTTAATTGCTTAGTAGCTAATCGCATGTGAGTTTCAATTACTAGCAGTGGGGTTTTGAATAGTATTAAGTCTTGTTGTGCTAGACGATTCAATGCAGTTTGTGGGTTGGTTTGCTCACTAGCTGCAATCAGCGCATTTGTTTGGGAGACGTGGCTCTCTTTTGGACCCCCTCAGTCTAAATCTGGTCCACTCTTTTACCATGGATACTATCTTGTACTATTGAGTCTAGGTGGCATTATCTCACTATTATCTTGGATTGAACATCTAGTGATCTATATCTTTTAAAAAATATTTTATCATCCTCACATAAGATATATATATATATATATATTTATTTTATCTTGGTGGGATTTATCAGCCATTTAAGGTCTACTATAGCATTATTAACTTATTGTTCTTACTGTAGCATGTTTACACATACACAAGTTTCTGTTTGTGCCAGAAGTCATATTAAGTCAATCACTGTGCATTTGGTGTACCAAGTCCTTTATTTGTCTGTCATCTCAGCCTGGTCCCGCAGCTAGTGCAACAAATGTTGGTGCCTCCAGCCGTTCCCCGAGTAAGACCGTGGCCCCCCGCGCTGCCGGCACCTCAGCCAGACAGAGGTAAGAACCTTGCAAGAACAGTTGCACCATCAAGCTGGATCTAATAGTGTTCCTGTGATTTGATCAGCAGACCTGAGTGTTATTGTTTATTCTGACCTCTGTAAGTGACAGTTGACCATCATTAGTCTCTATTTAATGTCTGTCCTGTGAATTTGACACCGTCAGGGTATGATTTAGTTGCTCACTGAACTGATAGTCAGGCTCTTATCAGTTGGTTGGCATTTTAATTTAATTTTAGTGTTTGATAATATCTGACACTTTTATTTGTCTTGAATGTTAAAGCATATTTTCTTATTAGGAAAGCCCCTAGCAGTGGCGCACGTAGCGGAGGCAGATCCACAGCATCAGCTGGCACAGGAGGGATGTGGCGCTTTTACACTGAGGACTCACCGGGACTTAAAGTGTGAGTACTCGCGCAGAAGGATTTAGAACTCTTTCTACCCAAAGAGAGAGTAAAATATATATATAAAAAAAAGAATACTTTTATTCAGGAAGGATGCATTGCATTTATAAAAAGTAACAGTAAAGACATGTATAATGTTACAAAAGATTTCTATTTAAAATAAATTCTGTTCTTTTTAACTTTTTATTCAAAGAATCCTGAAAAAATGTATCAAGTTTTCTACAAAAATATTAAGTGGCACAACTTCAGCTTTGTAATCACAGGGATAAATTACATTTTAAAATCTATTAAAATAGAAAAAGATTACTATGATTTGTTATAATATTTCACAGTATAACTGTATTTTTGATCAAATAAATGCAGCATTGGTGAACATAAGATACTTTTTTCAAAACCCCAACATTTTTGAATGGGAGTCCGAGTGTATGTACATGAATAACATTGTTTGAAAATTACATTTATTTGTTTATTAGAAATGTTCATATAAATAGTGCTTTTAGTAACATTATTATATATAATTATTATTCAGTTATTCAAATATATAACCGGCATGTATTTGAAAATAGACTGCAGAAATGAAGCAATAAAAAAAAAATACAGGTATAATCAGCCAATGTTGATATCAGTTTTTTCTTATTACAAGAAAAATCTTATGTAATATTCATTTCCTTTTTTATCGCTTGTTATTATGACTTTAAAAAAATCATAATAAAACCACAAGCTAGGAAATCATGCTAGACATTTTTATTGCTTGATTTAAGGACAAAATAAGAAAAGGTGATGATTTGAGGTACTTAATGTGCAGAGAACCAACACAGACGCTCATTTTTAATTCATCCCCTCAGCTCAACAGGAAGTGACACGAAAGGGACGGGCAGAGGGTTCTGAGAGGTTTAGCATTTATAAGGATAAACATGAAATTTTAACGACAGGAAATTGGCCTCATGGGCTCAACCTCCGTCTTTATTTGATGTCTCCCCTGCCGTTTCCCCTCCTACAGCTGTGTGCGCCTGTATTTACAGGCTCTCTCAATGAAACTAACTTCTGTTATAGTCTGTTCATCTACAGCAATTTCTCCTTTTTTTATTTAAAGAGCGGTTCTAGATTTGTAATGTTACATCTGTTCATTCAATATGTAGGAATTATCCGAGCATGTCAGAATGGATTTGAGTGTGGTTACAGTGGCTGTATTTACAGTCAAGAGTCTCTTAGAGTTAGAGAGTCTGGAGTTATGAGTGAAGTCTTTTTCACTCTTTAGATTGTGTGTGTGTCTGTGTGTTTTGAGCTTAATTAAAGTTCCGTTGGAAAAGGTCACATCAATTAAAGCCTGAGGGGTGGGCCTTCTGTCGGCATGGTTACGCGGCTGCCTAGCGACTCAGGGGATGGTCAGTTCCTGCTTTAATAAAGCCCCACATTTTCCACCTAGCTCGTTAACAGTATCCTACTCGCCAGCATTTAGAATCCTAATTACACCATCTTCTATCACATGATTAAGACGAGCAGTCCCGATTGGCCCACAGAGAGGAAGTTTGTGCCAAGCTTTATCTAAATTCCTCTCATATTCTAATCAAGGATCTTCTGAAATTTGAGAATTAGTTACTGAGTTTAGTCTGTCTGTCCTCCACTAGGGGTCCCTCTGTCTTACCAATTGTTTAATGATCATAATGAGATCTGGCAGTAATACCATCTATTTCTTTTCCCCCTTCTTGCAGTGGCCCAGTACCCGTTTTGGTGATGAGTCTGCTCTTTATCGCATCTGTATTCATGCTGCACATCTGGGGAAAGTACACACGCTCCTAAACCTGCATGACCTCTGGACCCTAAAGCCTGCCGCTGAATCTTAAGCCATTGGACTTGGACCAAACTCTGACCATCAACACCTTTTCCTTCATTAAAACCTCAATTTCAAAGGGTTTTCAACCCCATTCAAGTTTACCCAGCCACTACAACCGTTTGGTAATTTACAAACCCTCAGCTTGCCCTCCTTCCACCAGATCAGGACATCTTTTTTGTTAAACCTTTGTACAAACTAATATGTAAAATTGTACAATAAAATGCTGTAAAACTTGTCACCATTGTTTTTCTTTCATTTTCACTAAGGGAAAAAACCAGAGGGTCTGATTTGCATCACAGAGCATAATTAGCACATCTCCAGTCTGTGGGATAAAAAGTGGTTGTATGCAAATGTGCATTCCAGACGTGCCGTTACTGTGTGAGCTGTTTTGGCTCCACCAGTCTCTGAACGTGACGTAATAGGTGTGCTATTATTCCAATTCCATTGAGCTTACAGTCATGTCCTATCAACACTAAATCAACCGTGCCTGTGCAAAAACAAAATCTTGCCCTGCCAAGCTCACAAAATTATATAAAAAGGGAATAAGAAATTTCTTTAAATCAGGTGTTAATTTATATTTTAAAACAGCACAATGTGTGGCTTTGCTTTAAAATAGCAATTATATATTCCTAATCTGTTGTAAATGGTTAGATTCTTTCAGTCATTGAAATGATGGGTTTCTCAGCACCCCAGAAGCCAGAAAATCTGAAACTGCATAGAGTTTCGCATCTGAGCTCCTCATAAGTTCTTTTCAGAAAGTGGGCAGGTTTAATTTGCAGCCTGTAATGGAAGGGATTGAGTTGTATCTGAACATAAATAAGGGCTTAGACTAAGCCTGAACTAGTTCTTAGTTCGATTAGGACATTTATATAGCTTTTATAAATGTGCCTTAGAAAAAAAAACATTACTGGTGTGCACCTTGAGACAAAACAATGGCACTGACATATTTTAAGATATGTCAGTGCAAGTTGCTTTCAGTTAAAACAGCTCAAACATGCATTTTAGTCTTCGTTTGTGAAACTCAGGGAAGGAGTTGTGGCGGATGCAAGAACTGTTTGAAGGAAAGCCAAAGCAAGTGACCAATAAAACTGTACTGATTAGTAGAATTATAAAATTCATGCTATTTGAATTCATGAGGGATTCCATATGGCTTATCTTTTGGCTGAAAGATACATGAATTAGCCTCAGTTTAACAGAAATCTTCTTCACTTAAAAATAGACAAGCATTCCTTCCATTTGCAACACTGAGATACATGTTTGTCAAAACATCTAAATTAAATGTTCTATTTTTTGTATATTTAATGACCTACGGGATTATAGAGCCTGTTACACATAATTTAGGCATGTTCAGAATCAAACAGGCCTGTTCATGTCATTTACCTCAGTTCATGGCATATACAATTTGCTAAAGGAATACTTCACCCACAAATGAATATCCCTCAGAATGTCTATTCTAGATTGTGCTAAATTGTTTTTGCTGATAATATCCACAAACGGACATAAAACTGAAGGCGCAGTAGCGATTTAGCTGTTGTTAGCGGGCGCGTATTCATATACGAACGTCAATCATAATCTTCACCCGACAGCATGAAATGATCCTGTAGGAGGCGCTGTGACCCACTCTAATAGGTTAAA